CCCCCCCCCCCCCCCCCCCAAAGTTTCGCCCCTGACAGTACGGTGTCATACACAACAACAGTATATTGAAAGCATTTTTATTTTCAAAATAATTTGAAAATAGAAATGCTTTCAATATTCAGAGTTACCGTTGTTGTGTATTTTATGAAAATATTCCCGTGGCCGTGATAGCTACAATATTATTGTGAGCAATTCACAATTGTAGTAGCCGCAGTCCAAAACTTGAATTAAAATATGTTTTTATTTCACGTCTGGAACGTGCCAATGCATCGATCTGTATATGGATACCATGTAATATTAATATATTTATATAGGATCGTATAGCTCTGATACTCTCTCCTCCGCAGAGGCGATTGGAATAGGCTTACATGAATGGAATAGGCTTACATTACATGAAGTTTCGTGCGCGCTTACGTTTCAAGATTCATATGTAAGCCTATTCCATTCATGTAAGCCCATTCCAATCGCCTCTGCGGATGAGAGAGGCTCTGATACGATAAAAAAACGGCATGTAGCTACCGTAGCCTATCACGTATGTCTATAAGATCCATTGGCATTATATAATGACCTCATCAATCAAAACGGTAAAAGGAGGCCACTAATCATTGCCATTGGACATTGCCATTTCGACAACTGAGCATGCAATGTTATTGGCACTAAAGTTCAGCATTTAATAGCTAGCTCGCCGTTATAAAATTGAAGTGTGCAGTCAAGAATTAATTTTTGAAACAAATACCTGTATTAGTATATACATTACAGTGTCATTGAAACAACATCTATTAGGCCTAATACAAAGTATATTGATCTATTTACCTGTAGTTATCATGACTAGATCGCTGAACACGTGTATTAACTGTTGTTCGTTCATTTAGAATTCGTTCATATTCTCGACTATAAGATGAACTGCTTATCGTGAACAATGGTGAACAAAGGAACTACAATCAATTAATAGTCCAACACTATGAATGCTCTTTTATTGGTCGCCTACCAGTAAGACAATGCCGTAGTCCACACAAAGACAATACAACTATAAAGCCTTCCGTTGCTTTAATTTGACAGTTTGTCTTATCAAATGTGAAAAGGAAAGTTACTGAAAACTGGCATTTCCTGACCAATGTGTGCATAAAAGACCTTCCGCCACGCCAGTCTCAAGTACGACAAAAACAATGATTCATATATTGAACAAGTATACAAGCCAAGGCTATGTGAACGGATGCTGTGAGTGTACTTCAAATAATAACAAGAATACACCAGTTGTGATGGAGATTTCACGTGGTGTGACTATGTATTGATATACAGGTGGTATGCTGTTGTAATAAAACAACGTGTTTATTATACATGCAGGTTATAAAATTGCAAACATTCATGATTCACAAAACACAAGACATATACTTAGCTCTGTATACTAATGCATGACTACATGTCACTGCTACGATCCAGATAGCAGTCGATCTTAGCTTGAGTACATACTGTATATATAGCATATCTATATATAGACTGTATAGCCTAACCTAACCAAGACGAGCTCATGTATATGCAGACTCCAAGATCCGGTATCCCAGTATTGGGAATATCGCGCATGCAAAGCACTCGCAATGCAGTCGCCATGTTCCTAGCCAGTTCACTCGCCCTCCCCTGAATGTATACGCCAAGCCGGTCATTTTGAATTTTTTCAGGGGGATGATGGCCTCTCCTTAGCAGACTGGCTAGGTCAATGGCGGACAGTAATGCTAACATCAAAAGCGCCGACACGAAGTAGGCTATGACAGCCTATGTGCAATCAATATCGTGACGCCTGAATCTTGTGACGTTACTCGTAAGCTCTAACTGACACATGCATACGGAGTAAAAAAAACTACACTATTTTCCCTATCTATGTGATATCGAGCACTCTTTAGCATTTCGCCCAGTCCTTTGTGTACTTTATCATAAAGACTAAGTACGCCTTGAGTCTTGTAGCAGACAAGCAGCTCAAGTACGCGGCAGGTATATCCTTGGAGTACCAGTCAGATACGGCTGAAAATCTTAAATTACCGCGTTCTGTATATATCCGAATATATAGACCACCTGGCAAGAAACCTCAAGTCATATATTGCTCCGTTTAAAGGTGCTAACGGGCGGTGTTCACACTTAGAAAACAAACAATTTTTAGTGTAAGGATTATCTTGAGGTGACAAATGCTTGCCAAATAAAAACGTTGTTGGTAAAATATTAAATAAGTTCTTAAAGACGCGTATATAAGTCATGCAGTAAAAGCACCAAAAGCATGGGGGATTGGGGCATTTAATCACTTATAATTTTTGTTGTAGTGGTTGTTTATTTATTCCAAGAAACACAAAAACACTTCGGTTAGTTTATGATTCACCATCGGTGACATCATAACGTGGTAAGAATTCTGTGTATCACCTATACAGACGACGAAAAATCTGGGTTATATATAGAAACTAAAGTCAAAAAGCTCAGTCAAACTGGTTCCAAAAAGCTTTTAGGCTTTAAATAACGGCGTAAGAAACGTACACGCCATTTGCGCTTCATAGACTTGCTCGAAGCCTGCCTCCCAAAGGTCCCCTCCAAAGGATGGGATAAAACACGGATCCGGAATTGCGGATTTGAATTCTGCAGAAAAAGGATAAAACGCGTAAAAAGGAAAACCCTTTGAGAGGCAGACTTGGAGCAAGTCTAAGCACGTCATTATTTAATTGGTGATGCTTCTGAGAGAGTAGTCGTCACAGAATAGAAACTAGAGACCTTACGATTTACAACGGCAACGTGACGACGACGGCTATTAATACAACGAGATTCATAAGAAAATAACTAATGTCCCACAGGAGTTTGAGACGTCATACGCGGTCTGTTTACCGCAACGGGAAACTACAGACTTTTACGTCTTGGATAAAACGCCTGCATTTCAAGACTGGCTGTCGTATTCGCGTTGCCATGTCCAACACCGTGTCGGCGCCTTTCATGTTAGCATAACCAGCCGCCACTTGGTTTAGACGTGCAGGGGCGCGAGTGCCTTTCCTATAAGCGCACTGGCTGGGAACACGGCCGCTGAATTACTAATGCCTGGTGAATATATGGCAGCTAGCTATACACTAACACTTACGGTCTTTTTCCGAGTCGGACCCGTCTATAAATTATATACTCTGTGTAACGTGTCGCAAGTCGATCACTTTCAGAGAGGCGGCGTATTTGTAAAGAGAGAGCTCTCGAAATCAGTCACAGATACTTTTCCTCCTCCTTTTGTATGAATATTTAAAAAGATGATGTCCACTCCGTTCTGCGCATCAGTTCTGCTCAGTAACAAAGGGGGACCCCCAGACATAAACATTACCCAAATTTTGCATCTTTCGAACTTTTTTGAATTAACACGTATAGTTTATATTCATTTACAACTATAGCGAACCACAAAAGTGTTAGGTATTCAGTTAGTATATCATATTTTACAAATATAGCAGTTCAAAACGTAAACAAAGTTCGCGCATGTGCACAGGAGCTATTAAAGTAGGCCAGCGCTGAGTGTGTTGCTAACAGTTGAAGATGTAAATATATAATTATGCAATAATTCCTGCACGATTGCATTTTTTATAATATAATATGGGGACTTCGGTGGCGCAGTCGTCAGAGTAAGCGCCTTTCACCTCTGAGATCGTGGGTTCGATTCCTGCTACGGACTCATATGAAAATAATCTGTCAACACTCTGCCGAAAGTCGTGGATTTTCTTCGGGTGCTCCGGTTTCCTCCCACAGGGAAAGTTGGCAGGGTGGGTTAGGATAAACACAGTTAGGAAAGTAATATCACAATTGTTGTAAAGACAAATAGTCTACACGGCTAAAAACGCACAGGTTGTTGCAAGTTGATATCGACAGGCGTGAACAATGTTGTGCGGCCAGGTATGAACAGGTTGTCAACCATGTTGTTACAGTTGAACAATGTTGTAACAACATGTTGACAATACTGTTCATAGTGGGCCGCACAACCTTGTTCACGCCTGTCGATATCAACTTGCAACAAGTTGTTGATTTTCTCATTAAGTAACATAAGTAATCGTAATACTTCATGTAATCGGTCACCGAAAATCCCAAACGGGAGAGTGAGCTGAATAATAATGTAATGTAATGTTGCGCTTATGGGTATGGTTTAATATATTATTAATTGTGCATTAAATATATGAAAACATTATTTAATTAAATTGATTAAGAATGAAAATAAAGCTGTTTCATTATTTTTCAAACCAAGGAAATTCGATGTTGTGTGATCGGACATTGAAGATGAATGATTGTAAACGTATCCCTGTGGCGTCACCCGTAGGCGTCACCAAACAAATGAGGACCAACAATATGATACTAGATGATTGATATAGGCATTTCTTCTAAGATGAAAGTGTAGCGCGCACAGTGACATAGCCAGAGGGAAGGGACGCCCTATATTCGTAACCCAGGGTAAAGTTGCTTTCGATTAGAAATCCCAGCTACGTCATCTGTTTTTATTACAGAGTTTATTGGTTAGATATTACGATAGCATATAGGTTTGAAACGTTCGTTTTATCACCATATGTAGCGTACCTGGTAAGTCTTTACGCCGATCGTCGGAGAAAGCAATCTATATTAACAAAATGATTGATAAGGTTAAGGACAAGATATTCGCTTGTTAAAGAGAGAAATGTAGTGGGTGCATGTGCGGGGTGAGGGGCTCAGAGCAGCCTGAGCCCACCACCTATTCCAAAAACTGTCAGAAAACACCTCGTTAACAGTTCCAGGACTACGAATAGTGCGCGGCCCTTACACGGCCCCAGTTGCTTGCTTGCTTGCTCAACGAAGCAACGAACAAACGAATGAAACGAGTGAGAGAACAAAATTACACCAGAAATGGAGTGTCGCCAACTTAATTTGCAGGGGCATCACAACCTTAAAGCCTGGTTTCCATATCGTTGTAATGGTCGTAAAAATAGAGTCACGATCTTTCTCAACGGCCAGTTTATAAATTATAATAGTTTATACCTGTATGTCACATATAAATCATAAGTATTCTCTAGTTATAATCACTTCGCGTATTTTCAATTCTAAAATGTTGTATTTCAGCTGATGAGAAAGACCGTGACTCAATCTTTACGACTGTTACGACCATATGGAAACCAGGCTTAAGTTATAGTAATTGTTTGGGCTGTAATATGGTTATACTAACTACACTAATCTCAAAAAGACAATACCGTTTTATTTCAGTATATGCAGTGGCGCATGAAGATGACGCGCCACTCTAAAATGACATGCAGGCACAGCTATTGAGTAGAGTTTACTTATATATGGTGGGCATGCGTATATATAAGTGATAAATTCATTATTTCAGAGCAGAGTAATTGTTCAACTTAATACCGATTCTTATAATATACTGATTTATGTATAATTGTCCTTTTTCTTCAGTCATACAACATGCATGAAGTCATATACTATAATCTCTACTGATTTCATTTACAGCACACAGAGAGGTTAAGTAAAACGGCAAACTTCAAATCGCATTTTGAGCTCAACTGTTAGTCGTTCGAAGTTAAGGGTAATTTGTGCAAAACTGAAGCATGAATTAGCTATTTAGCTGTCGAAAGCATGTAGAACTTACCTCCAAATGCGATTTGAAGTTTTCCGTTTGCAGTTAGCTGTCTGCTGTAAACGTCAATCTTAACTCTATTTCTGGCTACCACCAGGCGATACACATGATCACTCTATACAAATTACCGTGGGAAATAGCTAGTGCACTTACTGGTCTTATAATGTTCAAAATCATTGTCGTACCCAGAGCCCTTCTTACGCGCGGTCAACGGAGCACGACGAGGGGCTCTGGCCAAATCCATAACCGGATACCATAAAAACATGGTATCCGGTTAAACACTGCGCATGCTCAACGTCAAACGCGGATAAACACTTCGGCTTTCTTGTTTTTTTCGTTTTGAAAGTTTTTCTCCAGGAAAACCCCACAAAAGCGGTAGGTTTCGCTAATTTTATTTATTTAAATCAATTAGTAGGTAAGACGTGATGTTCCCAATGCATGTTGATAAAAATTTAGTATATATTTCCCTCTTAAACGTTGCCAAAGCAGTAATGGCTACGGATACGAAGACGAGAGATTGTCTCACTATTTTATATTCGATTTTAAGTCGCTGTTGTACAGATTTTTAGACTTTTTTTGTGTTTTATTAAAAGTCAACAGTCATACATAAGACATACTATACTGCAAATCATTTGAAAATTGTAAAAAATCGGTTTCTAGGAAGAAAATAGTCATCACAATTAACTTCATATTCTG